ATATGAATCCGCGTAGGACGTCGCTGTGCTGGACCCCCAGCAGCCCTCGAAAGTGGCGTCAGTTTCACAGATCGCAGCCCCCTGCAGGCAAGACAGGAGGAGGCTGAAAAAAGGCGGGAGGAGGAGGAGGAAGAGGACGCGACCACTGTCCTCGATTCATAACGAATACCCAACCAAGGAGGGTTGGGAAAAAGAATGCGCGCGGCGCGAAGGCGCTGCTGCAGATTTCAAGTTTCAGGATCACGCACAATGATGGAGTCTCGTGCGAGAAACGACCGGCCTACCGACGCGTGTGGAGGTGCGACGAGGAGGACGACTTCATAAGGAAAAGGCATGGCGGGTGGTTCGGTTCGGCTCTCCTCGGAAGCAAAGCGCACCTCGACAGCCAGGGGGGGGGGGGGGGCGCAACTAATGAGCGGCACAGCCCAGGGCGCCCGCTCTGCGGGCGCCTTTTCCCCCAGGGACAAGGGGGGCAAAAGGAGGAAGGCAGGAGGAGGCAGGGGGAGGAGGAGGAGGAAGAGGAGCAGGAGGAGTCCGTAGCCACGGGAGGAGGCAGGAGGAGGAGGAGGAGGCCGGAGGAGGAAGAGGAGCAGGAGGAGGAAAAGGAGCAGGAGGAGGCAGGAGGAGGAGGAGGCAGGAGGAGGAGGGAAAGGAGGCAGAGGAGGACTCCGTAGCCACGCTGGCTCAAGCCGCCTGCCCGAGCTGGCCTACCCGCGGCAGAGGGCAGCACTCTGGCGACGCTCGAGCGGCCGCTCCCTCTGCGGGGCGGGCGGCCACGCCATCCCACCGGTGCATTTTGACCACGGGCCGCCACGCCCTCGTCAACGAGATGTGTTGGCGGCCTCGCGACAGCACACAGCATGGAAGTGAGTCCGAGGCTGCTCGATCCAAGAGGCGCAGGCCTCGAGGCCGTGGAGTTCACACCCTACGCCCGCGGGGTGCCACAGATGTTATAGAAAATGGATGCGCGGCGGTGGACAAACGTAGCGGCAGCAGGATGCACAACCATCTCCGGCACAACCATCCAGAGGATGCACACATTCAAATAGTTGGATTATCCTGCAGATGCAGCGCAGCAATCCACCTCTGATGACGCGGCCGCAACGCATGCCGAGCTGTCACAGCCTGCACGGCTTCAAGGCCGCACGCAGTTGGCATCGTTTCATTGGCCCTGGCATGTTTGCCTAAGCCGCCTTGAGCTGTGCAACACTGGCAAATTGGGGGGTCGTGGCGGGATTTGCAAGCACTGCTGGTGGCGGAGGACAATAACATACCGTGCGTGTCGACCGCTGCGAGGGTGTTGACCGCCAACACCTTCGGCCTCGGCACCATTTCAATACAGCTCGACGGGCATCGGGACATGTGCCCGAATCGGGCTCAGGGCATCAGGACCGAGACCATGTGCAATGTAGGCCTTCGTCAAGGGCCACACATGCTATGTGGGAGGTTCGGGTAGATGGGAGGGGTATACATGAGGGGGAGTCGTCCTTGCCACACCCAGACGCTGCAGCATACTCTTGAATATCTGCTGTTCCCAACTGTCTTGCATGTTTGGTTCTTGCCGACGGGCGCTGCTGCAGTACAAGAGCCTGACTTGTTACTTTCTTCAGCGCTGCGCTCCGAACGGTGTTGTGTCTCGCGTCGCTGCCACCAAGACGCGACGGCTCTAGCAAGCCCACGCTTGTCCACCGTAAAGAGGCAGAGGAGGAGGAAGCGTACCCCAAGCGGCCCTGGGGGGCCCCAGGAGGCTCCAGGAGCCTCCACGAGCAGGAGGCAGCGGGTCGAGACAAGCAGGCCGCCGAGCAGTAAAAAAACTACAAGTTCTCTGGCGGCGCAGGCGGAAAAAAAAGCGGTGGATGTTGCCCGCTGCACAGATGCTACGACACCGATCACACTGGCGAGACAAGTCGCCTGCCTACAGCATCGTACAACACACAGGATGCATGTTCTCCATCTCCAGAGGATGGACGCCAGAGACTCCGAGAGGATCGAGGAGGCGCCAGGAGGAGGCAGGAGGCTTAAGGAGGATGCGGCAGGAGGATGCCAGAAGAGGAGGCAGGAGGAGGAGGAGGCAGGAGGAGGAGGAGGCAGGAGGAGGAGGAGGAGGAGGAGGAGGAGGAGGAGGAGGAGGAGCCCTCGGAGGCTCTGAGGGGCCCCAGGAAGCCCCAGGAGGCTCGGTGGGGCTCCAGGAAGCTCCAGGAGGAGGCAGGAGGCCCACGAAGGAGGAGGCCAGAGGAGGAGGCCAGAGGAGGCCAGAGGAGGAGGAGGAGGAGGCCAGAGGAGGAGGGGGAGGAGGAGGAGGAGGAGGCAGGAGAAGAAGGAGGAGGCAGGAGGCGGGAGGAAGAGGAGGCATTGGGGAGGAGGAGGCAAAAAGAGGAGTAGGCAGGAGGAGAAGGCGGAGGCAGGAAGAGGCAGGAGGAGGAGCAGGCAGGAGAAGGCCGCAGGAGGTAGGAGGGGCAGGAGGAGATCCCCCGGCGAGCTAAAAAGATTATCATGAGGGATCCTACCATCGGAAGCCTTCTGGGCACGAAGCGTGCGAGGCTTGTGCCGAATCCGGTGGGAGGAACGCTCCAACTGGGACCGTGGGCGGAGCTCCCTAAGGGGCACGGAACCTGAGCGGGGATCACCTATGGGCTGCATGCGAAGGCCCCCAGTGGGATCGTAGGGGTCGTTCTGGGTCCCAGACGTACAAGTTCCTCATTTCCTTCACACGGGGTCCCCGGAAGTCCCGACGACCCTTTCCCCGGGGCGGGCGTTTCCTCCCGAGCTGTGCTCCCACGGCCCCCGGGGCCAGCGAGGGCCCCCAGGCGCCCAAAACGGCCAAAAACCTCCCGTCGCGTTCTGTTGTCATGACGCGAAAACGCCTGGGATGGTCGACCTCGGCGCGGCGGCGTCGACGGCGCCGATGAGCGACGACGACGACGACGACGGCGACGGCGACGACGACGACGACGACGACGGCGACGACGACGGCGACGACGAGCGACGCGAGGGGTGTGCCGAATCGGCGAGGGGGCCACGTGCGGGTGCGCCCCCGCGGGGGCCGCAGGTCGACACCCCCCCCGGTGGGGCCGCGGCTCTCGCGAGGAGCGCGCCGAGAGGGTTGGACGCCCTGCGCTGCCCGGGATAACTGCGGTCCGGGGTAAGGAGGAGGAGGAGGAGGAGGAGGAGGAGGAGGAGGAGGAGGAGGAGGAGGAGGGAGGGGGGGGGCGTCGAGCTCCCCACCGCCTGCGCCTCGCCGATCGGGGCCTGGGCCCTCCTGCCCCGCCACGTGCCCCGCCTGGGGGCCCCGCCGCCCCGGGGGCCCGCGGCCGCTGCGCCGGTCCAGGTCAAAAACCCTAAGAAGGATGCGCGGTAAGGACGCAAGACCCTTGGAAGCCGAAGTTGGGATTTGGGGGGCGGCGGACGACGAAAACCCCTAGGGTACCCTGACAAGCGGGCAAGCGAAAGAGGCCAAGGACGAGCCGCAAGAGCAAGGAAGAGCAAGGACGCAAGGGTACCCTGAGCAGAGTCGCGCGTCCTTCTTAGGGTTTTTGACTGTAACTGCGGTCCGGGGTAACTCTGGTTTGGGCCCCCGAGGCGCCAACCTGTAGCTACCCCGGATTGCCCCCGACCCCGATGGCTCGGGGCTCCGGAAGGGGCGGGAGGACCCCGAGCAGACTTTCCCCGCCCGTGGCCGCAGGTGAAGAGCTCCCTACTGGGAGCGCGACCCTCGCGAGGGGTGTGCCACAGTGGGGGGGGGGGGCGGCATGCAAACTTTCCCGCGGTGGCCGCAGGTGGAGATCTCCGCATCGGGGAGCGCGGTCCTCGCAAGGGGTGCGCCAAAATGGGCGGGTGACCGCCACGTAAACGCGCCCACTGGGGCCCTCGGTGGAGCTTCCTGGCCATGAACACGTGCGAGGGGTGTCCCGAAGCGGACGGGGGGGCACCGTGTGGATGCATCCACTGGCGCCGCAGGTGAGGCTCCCGGTGGAGCCAAGATGCGTGCAGAGGGGAGCGTCGACAGGGAGCCGCCCGGCAAGCAGACATCGCAACGCGGGCCTTCGGTGGAGCTGCCGGTGGGGCCGCAAAGTGCGTGCTCCGCGGAGGTGGAGCCGCCCAGCATGTGGACATCGCCACGGAGGCCTTCGATGGAGCTCCACTTAGGGCCGACGAACTTCTGAGGGGTGTGCCGAAGTGGAGCCGCCAGCACGCGGGCATAGCCACTGCGGTCATTGGTCAAGCTCCCTGTGAGGCCACGAAGGGTGCGAGGGTTGTGCTGGCGCTGCGGATTCTGAACGAGGACCCAACAGCACGAGACGGTCGGAGAAAAACGTCTGGCGGAGGGACACATCCCTCCAGTCGAATATTTGTTCTGGAGAACCTTTCGGCCGAAAACTGGTTCTGGAAACCCCTACATCCAGCCGATCAGTTCGCCAACTGACAGAATTCCTGCAGCCGGAGAAGACGACCCAGCAGATGAAAAGCTGTTTTGGACAACCACCTGGTGGAACGAAGACCAAAAACTGTTAGCCGAAGTGCTGTTCTGAAACGCAACTGCCAGCGGAATGGTCAAAACAACTCCAGCCGAAGTCTTGTTATGAAAAAACGTATGGTGGGCAACCTCCAGCCGAAAGTTGCATTTAAGAATATATATATATATATATATATATAAATATGGCGGAGAGAAATGCATCAGGCCAACTGATCTTTCTGGTCATGCTCTGCTGCGGACAGGGGAAACTATCTTGCCGAGAACTCTGTCAGAAAAAAATGTTGCGGATTGACAAAGACTCCTGCCGATTGATTATTTATGAACGGCTTTCCGCAAACCTGGCCAGATATGTTCGCTGCCAAAAACACTCCGGCTGAAGGAATGGTCCTCAGGCCGAAGGGGGCTTTCTGAAAAACTCTCCAGCGGAGGGGCAAATGACTCTGGCCGAAATGGTACATGCAAAAGCCATCTCAATCCAGCCGAAGGAATCCTGCCGAGGGGGAGGGGAACTGCCACCCCCTTCTGCCTGGGTGAACACACCATTGATGACCCCGAGGACGGCGAAGCCGACCGTGAGCTTGTGGAACAGGCAAAGAACCATAAATCACTCGCTCACATTCTCCATTAGCAAACGGCAAACGGGAGGCCAGTTCGCCAGCGTCATCTCGAAGGTGCTGAGCAGCGCTCGGGAGAAGGTTCCGAAATACTCGAAGGTCGCCTTCTTCTCAGCTTCGTCGTGGTCGAAAGGGAAATAAAACTCTTCCAGGAGCTGGTTGATGACAAAGGCGACCAGCACCTGGATCATCAAGAGCAGCACGCAGGACCAAGCGAGGACGATAAGGCTGCTCTTAATCGCGGTGGTCATGAGAAACAGCGCGTCAAAGCTTCGTATCTGCCTCACCAAACGCACCAGGCGCAGCAGACGGGCCAGGCGGGCCAGTCGGAGGGCAGTGGTGTTCTCCAGGTTACCCTTCAGCACGGAAGACATCTCGACAAGCCAGAAGAGGACCACCATGAGGTCGAACACATTCCAGTAGAGATGGAAGAACGTGCTGCGCAGAGCGCAGAGCTTAATAGACACCTCCAATGCGAAGATCACACCGAAGCAAACGCTGATCACGTTCAAAATCTGATTGGCTCCTGGCCAAGGGTCTGGGTGATAGGAATACCTGCGGTACTCGAGTTGATTCCCGCGCACGAGCCCAGAAAACTGCACCTCGAAGGCCATCTGAATACTATTCAGCATGATGATCACGCCCATTTTAGGAGGCCACATGCGAACCCTACCTCTACCCCCCACGACTTCTGAGGGGGGAGGGTGACGTTCCCTTCGCTCGGGAGCTCCCGAGCGAAGTGAACCCCACCCTCCCCCCTCAGAACTCGTGCGGGGTTAGGGGTAGGGATCGCCTGTGGCCCCCCACATGATCACTTCGAAGCGCGTGCTGTCGACGAACTCGGCCCACTGCCCCCTCCGGGGGCTCCTCCTCGACTCGCCGCCCTTCCAGAGCACGGTGGTGACTCGTTCCTGCACGTCGTTTGCGCTCATGACGGACACCACGCCCCTGTCGTTGCTGTACGAGCGCCTCGAAGGCCTGCTCTTTGCAGCCGCGGCCGACTTGTGGCACACGGGCCCGGCTGTGCCCTCTGGCGACTTGGGGCGCTCGGGCTCGGTCGGAATCGCCGGCGGACTGCAGGGCTCGGACTCGGGGCCGGCTGCTTTCTGCGGGCTCGGCCGCACGAGGAGCCGGGGCGAGCCGACCGGCGACGGGAGCGGCCCCCCCATGCTGCAGGCCGACCCCTTGCTGCCGGCCGGCCGCGCATCTCCTCGGCTGTCCCGGTCGACGACCTCGCCCTGCGAGGCGCGGTGCAGCGCGAGGACCGACGTCCGGACCGACGGGGCCCTGGCGGACTGGCGCGCGCTGGCCGGCGCCGTGACCTTCGCGTCCGACAGATCACTCGGCCGATCACGTCACCCGATCGCGTACCGTCGGCTCGTGTCAGAAACATGCGCGACAAAGATGCCATGGGCCTTGGAAGGTCATCTCGAAGCTTTCTCGAGCGGGGCGCGGCCAACGGAAGTGGCCAATCCCCTGGGTCGTCCGCCCTCGGGGATGGACAGAACCCCCTTTAGCAAAACGTGGTTTAGTGAAAACGACCTCGGGCCCAAACCCGGCGGGCGCAAGCCTGGAAAATAACGGCCACGGCGCCCTCTCGAAAGCCGAAAACGGACAATTCACTAATCGACGTGTCACTGTTGGGGGTTCTGTCCAGCCCCGACGCCCCCCCTGTTGGCACTTCGCTTTCGCGTGATAACTCAGCCCTACGCAGCACTCCGGCAGCCGTTCGGGACGACCCGGGCAACCCCAGGACGCCCTCGGCGAGGCGCAGCCGCTGGAAGGCACCCCGAGGCTGGAAAACACCCGCACTCCCATTCCACGGCCTGGCGGCATTCCCGCCCCGGTCGCGCGATGGGTCGGTGATGTGAGACCAGGGCAAGTGGGTCGCCGAGGCTTTGCGGAGGCGCGGGTGGGAGGGCGGGCCGAAGACTCACTGGTGATCACAGTCTCATAGCCCGAATTGTTGTTTGATCGATTTGCTTCCTCTTCCCTGTGCAAGTTTACAATGTACGTATGATATGCAAACACACGAAGACGTGTGTACGCACTTTATGTGGCGACAACTGGCTGTGGGTGGGCGGGACGAACCGTTGCCCAGCCTTCGGGCCCGTACCCGGGTGGTGCAAGAGGCGCTGGTGCGCTCGGTTGCAGGGCCCGTGCCCGACATGCCATTTCCACCCATGGGCCTGTGCCCAGGGCGCCACGTGATGAGGTGCGCAAGAGACAGTGAACGAGGGGTATAAGATGAAGGATAAAGCCGCCATGCCGCTTGCAAGCGCAAACCATGCTACGCGACAGTTGACCGATGACATAACGACCCAGAGGAAACCTTACTATAAGCGGGGGCAGCGCTGCAAGCCAAGCGAGGGGGCAGAAACGCACCTGCACATGCTCCTTTCCCGTGAAGCGTTTTCCCACGCGCGCGACGCAAGCGTGGCGCGCGGCGGAAAACACCCGCACTCCCACTCCACGGCCTAACGGCATTCCCGCGCTCGTCGCGCGATGGGTCGGTGATGTGATGAGACCAGGGCAAACGGGTCGCAAACGCTTCGCACCCCCCGCTGGGCGATCGTTTTCCGACCCATCGTCGCGATCGGCGCAGGGCGGGACCGCGTCGCCAAGTGGATTAGGCGACGACGCGGCCCTTGACGGGCCATACTTGCGAGGGAATATCTTTTACTCTGCATCAGAATGGCCAATGAGCAGCGACAGGGCTGCTGCCCCCTCGACCTGGTGGTCTCGGAGGTACTGCACAAACGCCGAACTGGTCCAGTCGCCCGCTCTGAGCAGCGTGGCCAGGCTGCCGCCGTCGTCACCAATGTCGCGGGCCATGCCCCTGCTGAGCAGGCGCGTGCCTGGCAGGGCTGCGTCCGAGAATCCTGACAGACGAGCGTGCCCCCGCATTGGCTGGGGAAAAGACCTGTGCTGTTCTCGTGAACGCCCGCGGGCGCCCCTGCTGTCGCGCCAAGGCAACAAGCGGCCGGTTGTGGAAAGCGCATAGCAGCCACCCGAATTGTCTACAGCAACACTCCCGCCGTATCGCCGCCAGGCGACGAGCAGGCTTTCTCCTGGCCAAAAAGATACTGAACGACGAATCATCCTCGAAACTGATCTGGGCGTGGTCCCCGTTAGGGGACGCACTCAGATGGCATTCTGAACATACAAAGGCGGCCAACCGCGTACAGCGCTGCCTGTTCGACGTCCCCCATCTCTTCAGCGCGCGCGACAAGCTGCCGGACCCGGGCGGCCTGCAGTGCAAGTCGCTGCCGAGGAGGATCCGCCAACTTGGAACTTCCTCAGTGGGCCTGCCGCACGGCGTCGGTGAACCAACCGTTGCGCAAGCGCAAGAAACGATGGGCCCAACGAAGATGCGTGAAGTACGTCTTCAGCGTGCCAGCCTGTCAGAACATTGCGATGTATCGGATTGCGTCTCTCCCTCTCTCTGTCGCTGGAAAGTGATGTTTCCGTCCGAGTGCATCCATGTAGGCTGCCCAACAGCGCACGCCAGCGATGTAAGAAGGTAGAGAACGGGCGATTGCTGCAAGCACGCTCCTCTGGCCAGCCTCGTCCAAAAGAGCGCCCCGCCTGCTTCCGGCAGCTGCCACGACAGCGATCGCCTTCTGGGGGGCCAGTCGATCTGTGACCAGGCGGCTCGGACCTGCCGCGCCCATACGCTCCGCGAACGTTTGCCGCACGAGTGTCTGTGCCATGGACTGCTGCTTACCATACTCGTACATGGCCTGTGCCACGACCCATCCGTTGTGCTGCTGCGGGGGTAGATCCGTCAGGCGAGATAGCCACCATACAGCGCCCGCGTCCTGCGGGGGCGGCCCCGCGACCAATTCAGCAAAGGCTTGCGCTCGTTCTGCCACCGGCGGGATGGAACGCGCCTCAGGGCGCTCCACGGGGGCAACCATTCCCTCAACATGTTCTCCGACGGAACTGGCGCCAGTGGAAGACTTCCGTTTCCTGTCGCCCAAATGCCCTCGCACGCCAGAACGTGCGGTAGCCCATGCCGCAGAAGTGAAAGGTGGAACGGCATGTTCGCCAGTGGTGTGCTCCACTGGGACGTGGAGCCGCCCGTGCGGCCTGGCCACCCACGCTGTCGACGTGAACGGAGGCACTTCAGCCATACCTCCGACTAACTGCGTGCGTCCTGGCTCGAGCCAGGGGCTGTCTGGAGCCAAGGCTCTGGAAACATGATCAACCAATGGATTCCGCTTGGTGCCTGCCCATGGTGATGTACAATATGTTACGTGCACTTTCCGGTCCTGTTGCTCATGTTCCATCTACTGCCACTCTTGATTTTTACACGCGCCCACCAAGAATTCAACCTTTTATGCGCCGTTTCACTGTGTACTGACACGTTGCACGCTTGGCCATTGCCACGCCTACGATCACCGAATGTGCGCAAATGCATGTGCAGTTGAAGCTAGATGTATGCCTTGTATCGGCCACTCGCTCGGCCGAGGCCTTCGCAAGTTGGCCGGACACGTGCACTTCAGCTCCAGGCCGACAAGACGCCCCCACCAAGGAAGGACAAAGCACCGGGCGGGTGGCCACGGGAGACTTCCGAAGACGCCCCTGGCGCAGGAGCGGCCTGCCGAAAGCAGGCCCGTGAAGCCACACGAGCCGGATTGGCCCCTGGGGTCCCCCAGGACGGAAACAATGAAAGGGGCCCTGGGACACACAAATAAATATACACAAAGAAAATGAATTTCCCCATATTTTCCCATATGTTCTGGGTTTGTGGCTTCCCCCCCACTTCCCATAGTTTCCCCTATTTTCTGGGGAATCGACGATGAATTGTGTCTCTGTGTTTTTTTCCCTCCTGAAACAATGCGAAGGAGGAGGAGGCAGGGAAACACACCGCGCGCGCGACGTGCCCGGCACAAATCCTTGCGCGGAGGCACCGCCTGGTGCCGCATCCCCCCGACGACGACGACGACGACGACGTAGACCACAAGGGCACAGTCTCGCCTCCTTTTATCTCCTCGTCCTCCTCTCCTGGCCGGCGGCTCCCTCGACCCAGGGCCCAGGGGGCACCCCCCCTCGCAGGAGCAGCAACGGAGTTCCAACGACGATCGAACAGGTTGGAGACGCAACTGTGCACGACAACGGCTTTGCAGTTGCGTGCAACACGCTCTGCAGAAATCGACACGTGGATGTACCGGCCAATCCGCTCACAATGGGCGTGCCAGCCCATCCGCTATCGTTTTTTCTTGTATTTTTTTTGGGGGGCGGTCCAGGGGCCAAAGCAAGACAAACAACCGCGTGGTTTGGTACAACAGCGTTCTGGACACTGTATCCCATTTTATGGGATTACTCATGCCTCAACCAGCACGGGAACTCGCAGCTACGCGCGCGGGTACAGCAGCCCACACACGGCAGGGGTTCCCACAGCTTGCGTCGAAGTCAGCATTGGGCATGTAGGCTCGACGGGGGAGCCTGCTCCACAAACGCCGAATCGGGTTTTTCGCCTCCCCCCCAAGACTTCGGACACCGAAGCAGATTCGACCATCCCCGACTGGACCAAGAAAAGGGCGGGGCAGGGAAGGAGGGGGGAAAGGCAGGGCGGGTGACAGGCGAGGAGGACGACGCGGACGACGACAACACCAACCAACAAGAACACCAACATTAACAACAACAACAACAACAATCATTTTACCCGAACGCTCAGTGTTCTCACCAGTGCCAGGGTTTTCATACGACGCCCGCCAATACCCCCACTTTGTGGGGGGGCCGGTTCAAGCTCTACCACATTTCCAAACGACTCTTCGCCACCACCCACACCCAGCTTCCCGCCCTATGACGTTCGGACACTTCACTTCGTGGCATGCGGACGACCGTGGCTACTACACTGGCGCATGGTTTCAATGACTTCTTGTGGTAACATCTTGTGGAAACTAGCTTAGTATACGACGACGACGATTTGAAGGGCCTACGGTGCGAAAAATGATTTTATGTTGCGCGGTGCTAAAATTCCTACGAAACCCAATGGTTTTTGAAGATTTCGGCGTGCGCACGGAAAGAAAAAACGAATGTGTCCCGCATGGTATTATTTGACAGGGATGATGGCCCTGGCAGGTGCGCAACCGTTGTTGGAGAAGTTCGAAGCACGTGAAGAAGTTGATCGCAAAAGCCCGTTTGACAGAAATGTTTAAAAAAGTTGGGTTTCCTGCAAATCCGCAAGAGCGCGCGGGATGAAATTGTGACACTTTAAAAAAAAAAAAAAAAAAAAAAAACATTGGTTTTTTGATGTTTTTATGTTGAAATCGCTACGAACACTAAGGTTTTGGAAGGATTTCGTCTTGCGCGCGCGAATGTCCACTTTACCTTATTTTTTGCAAGGGATTCTTGAAGTTTGGTTATTTTAGAACAAGAAATTTCATTTTATAGTGTTTTTTGCAAGGGACAGCGGGGGGGAACAAAACAACCGGATCTTGATGACATCGTATTACCTGAGGCTTCCTCACGAAAATGATGAAAATGTAGCTGCGGCCTAGGCGCGGCGAGGGGGTCGCGCACCAGGGGTCCCAACAATAATTATTCTTTAGAATAAATAATGTTCAACAACAACAACAACATCAACAACAACAACAACAACAACAGCAACAGCAACAGCAACAGCAACAGCAACAGCAACAGCAACAACAACAGCAACAGCAGCGGCAGCAACACCAACAACAGAAACAGCAGCAACAACAGCAGCAACAACAACAGCAGCTGCAGAAACAACGACAACCACAACAACAGCAGCAGCAACAACAACAGCGAAAACAACAAGAACAACAACAACAACAATACCAACAACAGCAGCAGCAAGAAGAAGAAGAATAACAATAACAACACCAAGAACAGCAACAAGACCAAACACACTAACAACGACAATGAAAACAACAACAACAACAACAACAACAACCACAACAACAACAACAGCAACAACAACCACAACAACAGCAATGACAACTACAACAACAACAACAACAGCAACAACAACAACAGCAACAACAACAACTATAACAACAACGATAGCAGCAACAACGACAACAGCAACAACAACAACAACAACAATTACTAGCACGTGGGGACACTCCGTTCTCACCAGTGCCAGGGTTTTCATAGGAGGCGGGCAATACCCCCACTTTGTGGGGGGGCCGGTTCAAGCTCTACCAAATTTCCAAACGACTCTTCGCCACCACCCACACCCAGCTTCCCGCCCTATGACGTTCGGACACTTCACTTCGTGGCATGCGGACGACCGTGGCTACTATTCAGGGCCCCGCGGCCGACGACGACGGCGTGCGCGCGCGAAGAAAAAACGAATGTGTCCCGCATGGTATTATTTGACAGGGGTGATGGCCCTGGCAGGTGCGCAACCGTTGTTGCAGAAGTTCGAAATGAAAAAGTTGCTCGCAAAAGCCCGTTTGACAGAAATGTTTAAAAAGTGTTGGGTTTCCTACGAATCCGCAAGAGCGCGCGGGATGAAATTTTGACATAAAAAAAATCAAAACAAAAAAAAAAACTTTGGTTATTTGATGTTTTTATGTTAAAATCGCTACGAAAACTAAGGTTTTGGAAGGATTTCGTCTTGCGCGCGCGAATGTCCACTTTACCTTATTTTTTGCAAGGGATTCTTGAAGTTTGGTTATGTTAGAACAAGAAATGTCCACTTTAGCTTATTTATTGCAAGGGAAAGCGGGGGACAACAAAACAACCGGATCTGGTACACATCGTTTTGCCTGAGGCTTCCTCACGAAAATGATGAAAACGTGGCTGCGGCCTAGGCGCGGCGGGGGGGTCGATGCTACCGGGGGTCAGACAATAATTATTCTTTAGAATTAATTAAGTTCAACAACAACAACAACAAACAACAACAACAATTACTAGCACGTGGGGACACTCCGTTCTCACCAGTGCCAGGGTTTTCATAGGAGGCGGGCAATACCCCACTTTGTGGGGGGGCCGGTTCAAGCTCTACCAAATTTCCAAACGACTCTTCGCCACCACCCACACCCAGCTTCCCGCCCTATGACGTTCGGACACTTCACTTCGTGGCATGCGGACGACCGTGGCTACTATTCAGGGCCACGCGGCCGACGACGACGGCGTGCGCGCGCGAAGAAAAAAACGAATGTGTCCCGCATGGTATTATTTGACAGGGATGATGGCCCTGGCAGGTGCGCAACCGTTATCGCAGAAGTTCGAAAAAGTTGCTCGCAAAAGCCCGTTTGACAGAAATGTTTAAAAAAGTGTTGGGTTTCCTACGAATCCGCAAGAGCGCGCGGGATGAGATTTTGAATTTTTTTTGTTGAAAAACCATTAGTTTTTTGATGTTTTTATGTTGAAATCGCTCCGAACACTAAGCTTTTGGAAGGATTTCGTCTTGCGCGCGCGAATGTCCACATTACCTTATTTTTTGCAAGGGATTCTTGAAATTTGATTATATTAGAACAAGAAATGTCATTTTATAGTGTTTTTTGCAAGGGAAAACGGATTACAACAAAACAACCGGATCTTGATGACATTGTATTACCTGAGGCTTCCTCACGAAAATGATGAAAATGTAGCTGCGGCCTAGGCGGCGCAGGGGGGCCGTGCACCAGGGGCCCCAACAATAATTATTCTTTAGAATTAATAATGTTCAACAACAACAACAACAACAACAACAACAACAACAACAACAACAACAACAACAACAACAACAGCGATGAAGAACTTCACGCTTTCCAAGCGCGCGGCGGCGGTCGCCTCCGAGGTATCTGCAAGGGCGTTCGGTTCCGTGCACCCACGCGTGCTGCAGCATGCTGCAAGGAACGACCACAGAAAACGGAAAGATCTCACAGGACTACTCCGGATCTCATAACAATGGGGGGGGTCTGCTTCTGGGGGGGGATCTAACGGGCTTCGTCAAACACAATTGTGGGGGGGTCTCGATTTTGGACCCTTTGTTGCCTGTCTGGGGGGGGTCTACTTGGGGGGGGTCCCAGACAGGCCGTCAAACACTTTTTTGACCCCCCCCCCAGTATTAGAAGATTTGGACTAACCTGTGTGCTTCAGGGGTGCTCCGTTCCCATGAATCAAAGGCCCGCGCCAACATGTGGGAAGGACCACTCCTGCAGGTTCGACGGCGACGGCGAGCCGTTGCCCAGCCGTCGGGCCCGTGCCCAGATGGTGCAAGAGGCGCTGGTGCGCTCGGTTGCAGGGCCCGTGCCCGACATGCCATTTCCACCTGTGGGCCCGTGACCAGGGTGCCACATGATGAGGCGTGCAACAGACAATGAAAGAGGGATATAAGATGAAGGATAATGCGGCCATGCCGCTTGCAAGCGCAAACCATGCTACGCGACACTTGACCAATGGCATAACGACCCACAGGAAACCTAACTATAGGCAAGGGCGGCGCTGCAAGCCAAGCGAGGGAGCATACACACACACACACACACACACACACACCTGAACATGCTCCATTCCCGTGAGGCGTTTTCCCACGCGCGCAACGCAAGCGAGGCGCGCGGCGGAAAACCGCTGGGTCGATGGTTACGCTTCCCGTGAGTCCATCCCGGGCGGGGTGGGCGGGGTGGGCACATCGGCGGGGGCGGGGCTGTCGGGCCCCGATCGGCGATCAGTGGGCGAGTGGCGGTCGATGCGTTCCCCCTTGCACTCCCTCCCCCCCCCCCCCCCTCGTCGCCCCTGAGCTGAGGCCGTGACCGACGAACTCGCGGACACCGCGCCCTGGCCGAGCGCCTGGGCGTCGACCCGCTCGACCTCCGGCTCCGCCTGGCGGCCGAGCGCGCGGAGGCCCGTCATCACCACGGCGGGGAGGCGCAGGGCGCCTGCGCGGCGAGCGCCCCAGCCCTCCACCTTTGGCCGCGCAGCCGAGGGGGGTGGGGGGGGAAGGAAAGGGAAGGCCTCCTCGAGGGAGGCTGCCTCGTGGAAGCCGCGCCTCCCAAGAAGCAGGGGCGCTTCTACGAAGGGCCTTCCCCCCTCTCCCTATCCCCCCTTCTGCGCGTGGCCGACGCCTGCGCCACTAGCGCCCCGTGCGTCCGGCCCAGCTCCCTGTCCAGCGCCTCACGGCTCTCCTGTGGGAGGGCGCCAGCTGCGGCGACCCAATGGGGTGCGGTTTGCGCAAAAAAGGGCGCGGTCTGCAGCGCGCACCCTGGGAGGCGGGCGAGGTCCTCGACAGAGTTCTCCGCCGCTCCCCGAGGAGGCCCGACGAGGACAACGCGGTGCCCCCCCAATCCCCAACGACGCAGATCGCAAACCGCACCCCTCGGCGTGACCGCACCTCCTGTAGCCCCCGACGACTGTACACCTGCACAGCTCCTGGCCAGGCTCGCCCCTGGGCCCAGGCTCGGAGAGCACGCGCACACGCCGATCCGGGGTCCAGCAGCGGCCCGGCCGGGATCGGTGCACGGTCGGGCACTCTTGCTCCGCGTGCCACGGCGGCCCCCGGCGGCACGCTGTGCCCTGCGAGCGGGTAGCGTGCCGCTCCGCTCCGCGGGGCGGGAGGCCTCGCGAGGCTCGGGCCGTCGACGCTCGGGCACGGGGACGTGGAGAGCGCCGTCACGCCGAAGCCCGGTGGGCCAGAGCCACCAGAGCGACACGCTGACCAAAAAGTCCCGACCAGATCCACCCCCCAACGTTGTCCCTGGCTTTTGAGACATAGCTCGGCTCTCCCGCCGCCGTGCGGGACGGCCCTGGCACCCCCAGAACGCTCTCGGCGTGGCGCACCCGCCGGAAGGCATCCCGAGGCTGGAAAGCTGCCGAGGGCCGACGAATACGCATGAAGACCTCGAACCTCGAACCTCGAAGCCAGAGTTCCCGGCCGTAGTTAGTGCCCTCCGATCCTGGTGGCTCCTCTCCAGGGCGGACCGCACCGCCCGCCGCTCCTCCGCGAGCGCCTGCGCGAGCCACTCGGGAAGTTCCTCCGAGGCGGCGGCGCCAGCGCCCGCTCCGCCGCGCGCGCGGGCAGACTCCTCTCACGAGCGGCGAACACACCCGTGTCCAAGCCCTCGCGGTCTGGATTCCAGGGCGCGATCCCGCGGATACGCGGTCGCACGGATGCGTTCCGCGCGGGGCATCCATGACAGAAATGCCCCGTATCCGCGGGGCTACGGCCCAGGGGCCTGGCCCGCGAGGCCGCGCACAGGGATCTGTTCCCTGCCCACGGTCCTCCTCGCCGGGGGTCGTTGCCCACGCGCTGGCGCCTGGGGCGGCCATGCGGGGCGCCCTTCCTTTAGGGCAGCGCCAGGGTGGGGGCCAGCTCTGGGGGGGGGGGGGAGGGAACCGTCGACCTGACATCGGCGACACACCGCCCATACGTCGGTGGCAGGCCCTCGACGGCGCATCCGCATGGCCCTGGGCGGGGTAGGCCCACGGGCCCCTGCCGGCGATCCACGGGCGACGGCGGGTCGATGCACTCCCCCCCCGTGAGCCCACGGCGGCCCCGGCGGCACGCCGTGCCCTGCGAGCGGGTAGCGTGCCGCTCCGCTCCGCGGGGCGGGAGCCTGCGACAGGCTCGGGCCGTCGACGCTCGGGCACGGGGACGTGGACGGCGTGTCGCGCCGAAGTCGGGATCCACCAATGGGGGGGGGGGACCCTGAGGGGGGGGGCATGAGCTCGATCCGCTGGTGCGCATTACTGCCGCAGACAGATGCCCCCCGCATGCCCCACCGATCGGCACCTATCGGGAGCTGCCGGCGGCTGGGGGGCATCTGTTGTGGGCGGTTCGGTGCAAAACCGATCGAACTCTCTCTCTCTCTCTCTCTCACACACACACCGGGGTACATACACACACCCTTTGCGGGATTCCGCCCAAGCGCGACCGGCCAGAAGCAGCCGAGCGA